GGAAAGAACAAAATCTCAAATTAATATCATTTATAATATTGAAATGGAGTTTTGTAATTGAGATTTTTTAAAATCCTTTTAAAATTTTAATCAAAGGAAAATTCACATCCCGCTTAAATTTAATTTTATTATTGATTAAAAAGTTCCTTAAAAACAGATAAAAGAAGGGCATTATTTCTCCCTTCTAGTTAACATTTGTGTAAATAGCAGTAGATGTGAATTATTTAATCTTAATTTTAGAAAATAGAATGGGAATTCTGCTTATTACAATTTAACACGTGCCTATAGTTTCATTCATTGTGACCAAGACACTTTGGGGGATAGTAATACCTAGTTGCTTGCGGTACCTATTATGTTTTTACTTGTAATTCCTTTAAGCCAAATCTCTCCTGTCTTGAACATATACAGCTGATTTTTAAAGTCTTAATCGAGAACATTAGATATATTACCCCTTTTGCATTCACCTTCATCATTAAAAAAATGAAATCCTACCATTTGCAATGACATGGATGGACCTAGAAGTATTACACTGAGTGAAATAAGTCAGACAGAGAGAAAGATAAATACCATATGATTTCGCTGATATGTGGAATCTAAGAAACAAAAAGAACGAACAAATTGAAAACACCCACAAATATAGAAGACAATAGGGTGAAGGCCAGAGTGGGCAGGGCTGGGAGAAACTTCCATAGCCAGTGGATATATTTCTGAGTCTGGAGGCCATTTTGTGGAGGAGGATTTTTCTTTCAAACCCACGGTGCTTCATAGTTGGAGGTTTGGTGGGAATCCTCTTCACTCTCCAATGCAACTTCTGAAATATTTCTCTATCCACTTGTGGTAGCTCAGACTTTATTCTAAACTCTACCATTTGTTCCCCCTCCCTTTTCTGTCATCCTACTAACTCATGGATAGTCCTTTATTCCTTAGAATTTGGCACCTGGCTCTCAGGCTTCCACTCCATCTTAACTCTTGCCACCAGCTTAGATGAGATCATTGTCTACATGGACTATTCAGCTACCACCCTGAAAATATGGCCTGTTAGTTCTCCATATCTTCACTGACCTTTTTCTTTCTACTGCAGCCACCTATTTCTGTAATCATATTCTGGACTTTGCCATCACTTCACTTTCAATATCAATTAGACATTTCACTTTTCTACCACCGTGTTTATCCTCCAGTCTCATCAGAACCTCGAGCCCATTATTGTTTCTTTTTCTCCACTAGTACCTGCCTTAGTATTCATTTCTATCTTTATTCTTAGATTTCATGGTCGATCATTCCACTCCTTCCTTTTTTTATTAGTTTCATGTATATAGTACGTTGGTTAGACATTTATATAGTTAACGAAATGATCCCCCTGATTACTCTGTCTTCCATCTGGCTCTACACCTAGCCATTACCTTACTGCCGTCTGCATTCCCTATGCCGTGCTCCCCATCCCCATAATCCTCTAGCAGTAACTAATTTGTACTTCTTTAAACCTTTCTCCCAGCCCCCACCCCCTCTGGCCTTCACCCTATTGTCCTCTATATTTGTGGGTCTGTTTTCAATTCATTTGTTCTTTTCGTTCCTTAGATTCTGCATATCAGCAAAATCATATGATATTTATTTTTATTTCTATGACATTTCATTCGGCATAAACACCTATAGGTACATCCATGTCGATGCAAATAATAGGTTCA